GCGCGACGCCAAACGGAAGGCAAAGCGAGCAGCAAAATAAAGGCGACTGCAAGCCCGGCGTTATAGACATGCTCGCGTGTCCCTCCGCCCCCGCGCTCTCTCTCTCTCTCTCTGGGTCGGTTGGCGTCCATTTCTTCTTTCTTTTAATCTTACTTTTCCCGCAAACGGGCAGCCAGGCGTTAATTCAACGGCATTGATTGCCACACGGCAATCCCCCGCCGTTTCTGTGTGCGAGAGACCGAGGGAGAGCGAGAGGGGGTGAGAGATCTCACCCTCCCCGGCTTCTCCCTTCCCGGCTCTCTTTCGCTTAGGCTCTCCTCCTAAGGAACGACGCTCCTCCATCCTTCTTTCCGCGTCTTCTTCGATCTCGCGGCAGTATTCGTTTTCTCGGCTACATTCTTGTACTCGGCTGCCTCTCCCGCACGAGTCACGAGAAACACGGTGGAAATGCTTATTTCCACGCTTCCCGATCGAGGCTCTTCATATCGTGATAGGAATAATTAATGTATCTAAACATCTTTTATCTGCGAATTATCGTATTTTCTTTGCCAATCTCACTGTATCTGGCGTTTTACTCTCAGATAAACGTGCCTCTTTACAAGTTATCGATACATTGATATAAAGATAGAAATGTCCGTCGAGTATATCCCATCGTTATAATATGAAGGACAAACGTTCAAACGCTAAAACATGGTTTTAGCCAGGTGGTTTTAATATCGCGCGAAATAAGGAGGTGAGGGAGGCAGCTTTATGGCGATGGGCGAGCCCGTCCTTGCTCTCGTTCGATGCAAACGATCGAGATAAATGGTCCAAAGGGTGTGGACTCGAGATGGACGAGAGTGTCCCTGGGGTTGCCGGCAGGGACATCGGGGGAGACACAAAGAGGGAGAGGAGACGACGGGAGAAGAAGGTAGGGGTCGAGTGCCCGGGGTCAATCTATAATAAAGCTGGCGTTATCTTGACCGGCTAGCGTGAACGAAGGCTAGAGGCTCGTAAAAAAGAGGGAGAACGCTGCTTAAGAATGGATTACGGGAATGAAATCGGAGAACTGATGTTTCGCAGTCGGAGTATCCTGCGGCGTCAACTTTGCGAGGGGCGCATGCGTCGCGATTAAAAATAAAGACGGTGCCGTTTAGAGAAAAAGGTAGAAATATGAGACACCCATTATAGAGACATTGCAATTGTATCCCTCTAAGAATTATCTTTTTCGCAGTTTAGAAATACTTTTTTACCTCACATCGCAAAGGTTCCTTTAATTTGTCACATAAATCAAAGCATTTTCTAAATGAAATAATTTTCGTTAGGTATGTAAAAACGCGTTGTAACAAATGATTCTTATATGCCGACTTCTCCCTCGAACTGCCCTGGCTGTCGTTATTCCGAGCGATTGAGTGCAGTTGTTAGCAATTGGTAATTCAGTGCAATCGTCAGACGCAGAAGACACGAGGGGAAAGACGAGGAAAATGTTAGAACCGCAAAATGTATGAACGTCACAAATCACGGTCGCTGAAAACTTGAATACATATTTAAGAAACACGTCTAATCAAATAAGATAAAAATAGTTCGGTTACGTTCTAACTTGGTGTCGTAAAATACGTCTGGTCGTTGCAACGGACATTACGTATTTATCGTAGGAGGCTCTACAATCCTTCGTAGGGATACGAGAAGCCCTTGCTCAGATATACCAGATCCATTATTACGTTACGCGGAAGAATCACCTGTCGGCCTACCTGTTAGTCGAGCTAACACGCGTGAAACTCATTGTAATGCATAAGGGGCGCACCGGCTAACCCTTTATGCTAATAGCGTCGAGGTGGATGTTACGCCGGAGTGATTTTTATCATGCATTTTAAAGGCCATTTGCTTAATGAGCCGCGGAACATGCGCGTTTAGAATACCACTTGCGCTCGAAAACGATCGCTATATAATAGAAAAATACCGTCAATTCTCTCTTCCATTAGTTCCTCTATACTATCATTAAATTTTCCTCGTTTACACATAATATTATATTACGATACAACGCGTAATTATCGCGTTAATAGCGGCTCTAGCGTATTTCATGTATACATTTGAATATAATACGTATTTAAGTTTATACGTGTACATATTTAATGTCTGATTTCATACATACAGAGTGTCTCAAAATTTCCTTTAAAGGACGGATTCTCTGGCTAATTTGGAGACGATTTTTCCTCGAAAATGTCGAGGGACATCATCATTTTTTCCAAGCTTCTAATTTATGCCATTTTTGATATATCTTTGTCAGCCTTAAATTAAAATTTTATTAAAATAAACTCCACTTAAAATTAATTAATCGAATCTCCGAATCTCGAGATGCACATTAGACAAACCGGGGCCGTATATTCGCGGATAATTAGGGGAAAACCCGAGCGGCCGAGGGTAAAATGCTAAAATGCTAAATAATTACCGTAGTAATTATTAAAGACCGCTTAAATAGGCCATTCGCTGCGTTTATTATATTACCGCGCCATTCTCGCGCATATAATATGCGAGTACGCAGCGTAAAGATCACTGCAAATATCATTCTTTTGGCGATTGCGTAAAATTTTTAAAAGTATATTCTTTAACAGACTTGGAAATAGCTTTCTCTTAAACAACAAATTGATTCAAAATACTATTTCCAAAATTTTGAACCAAATTGCGGCTTAAATTTTATTCGTTTTTACTGAACTGAAATTGATCTAAAGTTAACAAATATAATGCTCATTATATTTGTAATATGAAATTTTAATCTTGCACGTTCACATTGTTTAATGATATTTAAGAAAAAATAATTAGCATAAGAAAAACAATTAAAATTTTATACGTGTACGCGAATATAACTAATTATAAATAAATAGAAAATCTGTTAAAAAATCTTTGTTAAATTAATATTAATCATTAAAAGTTTCCTTCTTGTAGTAATCATATTTCCTTACACATTACCGGACATTTAGATTTATCTAGAAATACATCTGCGGAAAACACGTTGCATCGTAAAACAAGTAATTATGCTCGTGCATATTCATAAGAAATATACAAGACAACATATGTTGAAGAAGCAAGTTGCTATAATTTTATTGTGCATGTACACACACATATATATATATATATATATATATATATATATATATATATATATATATATATATATATATATATATATATATATATATATATATATATATATATAATATATGTGTGTATCATATCGTGAAAATTTATAGAAATTTAAACAATTAGATGCTAGGACACAACAAAAATTTTATTATTTATTTTTAGTAAATTTTTTATCAATAAATCTAATCTTTTAATGTAAAAAAATAATTTACATAAATCGTTTTTACTGAACTGAAATTGATCTAAAGTTAACAAATATAATGCTCATTATATTTGTAATATGAAATTTTAATCTTGCACGTTCACATTGTTTAATGATATTTAAGAAAAAATAATTAGCATAAGAAAAACAATTAAAATTTTATACGTGTACGCGAATATAACTAATTATAAATAAATAGAAAATCTGTTAAAAAATCTTTGTTAAATTAATATTAATCATTAAAAGTTTCCTTCTTGTAGTAATCATATTTCCTTACACATTACCGGACATTTAGATTTATCTAGAAATACATCTGCGGAAAACACGTTGCATCGTAAAACAAGTAATTATGCTCGTGCATATTCATAAGAAATATACAAGACAACATATGTTGAAGAAGATTTATTTTTAGTAAATTTTTTATCAATAAATCTAATCTTTCAATGTAAAAAAATAATTTACATAAATATAGATTAATTTAAATTTATATTTATGCAAAGAATGTACAACATATATATTGATCGTATCGAATATATTAATATATAAGAAATTGCAATTATTGTGAGTTTGATATATGTTATATATTTATACAAATATATACTAAATTCAATTATATTTATAGCGTACTTTGTTATCTCATTATTGCCGACGATTTGGTTAGTGATCGCTTACGTTAATTACACGCAGAAATATAGCATTCTCTTGGCGGAAAATTAAAGAGGCGCGAATGCAGATAAAGAGGGCTTCCGCGTATTAGCAACGGAAAAAAAAAAAGAATGAAACGTAAGCTTACGTACATACACCTATAATAACATATATCCACTGCCGATGTATTTTTATGCAGGTGTAACCGACCCTCGCTCTTGCTCCAAGAAAATGCAATCCGACGGCGATAAGGATACCGTAATATGCAAACGGCGAAAAAAAAAAGAAATATTGCACGGCGGCAGAGCTGTATGTTCATGTTTATTTATGGTCGGACAAAGTACAAGCTATATTGCTAGTGCAAGTAGCCGCGATAATTTCATCGGAATCTCGTACTTAGTGCCTTATCGATGATCGAACCGCGATCTCTCATTTAGCGCGAAGCGCGTTATATAGGAACGTAGGCGCACGTTTGCGGAAAATTAAAGGGAAATGCGATAAAGATAGACGATCTTGATTATGCTCGCGTTAAATATAACATTAAACCGCGCCAGCGATATTTAATTAATGTTTATGCAGCATTCCTCTGTTTTCTGGCAGGGAACAAGAAATTTACCTGCTTTCGCGAATTAACGCGTTGAGATTCTCGCGTTTCTTCGCTAATGATGATGAATCTAATAAATTCTTCGAGATACGATCTTGAGAAGTGGGAAAGATTGGTACATCTTCTCATCAAATGCAAATATTTGAATCTTTAACGAAAGTTTGGATGCTGCAGATGAAACATGTCTTTGTAATAAATCGAACAAGAAAGATATCAAACATTTCTTAATTAATAGTTGAGTCATTAATTAAATGATCATCCAAAAATAAAAATTTTATTGCGCGATGTTTAATATTTTTGATTTAATAAAATATTGTAGCGTATATGATACAATAGTAAATGTATATAAATTAATAGAAAGATACACAATAGTAAAATTTTTATTTTATTAGAAAATAATTATATATGTTATCGAATTTTCTGTTTCAGGTATTGAAGTTATTCCTCAAATACATTTCTTACGACGACTTTTCATCCGCAAAGAGTTTAAATAAACATTGTCATAGAAGGTGTGCGTTATCGTTTCAATGCAAACCATCTAACGAACCATTGAATTCGTTGCGCTCCCACAGTATTCAACCTAAACGGATTTGGCTTCATTAACCACCGGTGGACCCATCCCTACTGCAATCCCTACAGTTTTCTCCGACGAAGCAAGCACGACGTCCTTTCGCGTCGTAACTATGGTAACAATAGCAAAGGCAGACGGAATTAGTACTACCGCGAGAAGACATCGCGTTCTGAGAAGAATATGATCGAACTTAGTAAATATATCGTAATAAATTTTAACCTGTAATAATAAGTGAGTCTTGCAAAATACGTAATACAAAAAGACATGCCAGCAACAGCAAATATATTTTACAAGAGATTAGATTTTAATTATATATTCATGTGCGTAATTTTATCAATACTTTTACAAGAAGAATTATCAATATATTTTACAAAAAGTTAGATTCTCTAATTTTAAATATTTGATTGTTTCATTATTAAAACTTATATAATTTTAGATATATTCAAAGTTTAAAACATTTATTTTGGAAATGCAAATATCAACCAATCGAGTTTTTCGGAAGAAACTCCCTTCATGAAAATACAAAAGAGCAAGAGTACGACTCACCCTTTAAAAGGGTTGTTTGCGCACATGCGCGTGATACATGCAAAGTAGAGGGTTTCTGTTGGCCAATAAGCTCGCTTGAAAATGTAAAGGGCTGCGTATGCTCGTGCGCACTTTAAATAGGGTCATTTTAACTCACCAATAGAAAGCCTTTAACTTAACTTTCGATTATATCACATGCATCATCCAATTTTTATCATTATTATATATTAAT